CTCGTCGTTAAAGTCCATGAAGTTGGAGATTACTTGAATATTGTCGAAGCGCAAGAGAAAACGTTCCAGAAGAAGTTCTATAACATTCCCAATGCCAGCAGAAAATATCAGCAGGGGAATGTTTTCCCTGTGCAACTGCACCATGAAGTCTCCTACATAGTCCCTGAAATGACAAAAAGGAACGTTACTCGCTGTGTAAAGCCTGTCTAAAGGGCAAATAGTGGAAGCTGGAGAAAGCTAACATATAGAGATGAGTTGTGAACAAAACAAGACTTTACCGAGGTTGTGCTGCGTCATGCGGTCAGAATCCTACCTTTACTGCACCTGTTATAGTAGGAATTATTTGTTCTCGAGGATGTAGTTGGCCGTACTTTCCCGTTCCGCTAACGCAGGGACACCCGTCAGATTTGCCCCGGGTTGAGTCATAGCTACGCTTTTACTGAGGCTACCTTCGCGTGCCAGCAGGTACGGCGTGTACCCACTAGACACGACACCCGTCGGATACGGCAACACCCACATAGTGGGCAACACCGAAACCAGTTAAATTAACCAATTAAAGTGATTGCCACCAGCCTCACACACCTCTCCTCTCGGGTATGACCGGACAAATTCAACACTAGCCCTGACTACAGGTATTCACTCTGCGTGCGGCAAATGAAAATGTTAAAAAATATCGCCAAGATGCTTTATGCAGATAAGACTTTAAAATGGCTGACGCGATGAATCGAAGTCTATGCAAAAATTATATTGACTGGTAAAAGTAATGCAGTTACTGGAAAATGCAAGCATACCTTAAGGCAAGGTGGCACTGATTTACGGTTGCTCTAAGTGTATCTTTATGCATATTTGACGTGACGATCGCTTTTTGCGCTGAATCCCACCACTCCACCATGATTGGAATCTTTGTGGAAACTGGAATAGTTGGATCCCATTCAATCGGTTCATAAGTTTTTTGTAGAATATGCAACTATTTATTGAAAATAATTACACTTTGATGACCTCGTATGACTTACTTGATTCTGTATTTCCAATGTCATATCAGGAGCTTGCTCAAAGATTCCATGACACGTGGGGTTAGGCTCACCTTTGTAAAGGAACTTTGACATAGTCCAGTCAAAGTCGGATATAACCTGAGAAGCAACATGAACATACACAAATGCGCGTACCTGAAGATTGTCTTTCCCTAGGGCAGTCATGCGAGTAAGCTTCCTTTTTACAGCATCGGGATTTTTGATGCGCATTTTATGGCAATGCTAGGTTTGAATGAGGGGACATGATTGAACTATAACCAACCTCTGATTTCCTGTTGAAAAGAACTTCAAAAAAATTGGATAGGCTACGTTTGTGGGAGATTGATAGTCCATTAGACTGGCTTGCTTCCAAGATAGCCGTTTCCATTAGCTTAACAGAGAGTAAATTGACTAACTAAAGCTCCAGGCCTCGAGTACGTCTTTCAAGGAAAACCGGTAGCGAACAGCCCGTCCCGGTTCGCGGACGGCCTTTGATATGGTCTTCAGCCCAAGGGACCTTTCCTATTGGTCAGTAGCACTGTTCAGCGATTGGCTATTTTTATTCGTGAGAGTTCTGCAAATATTTCTGACAACAGCTACAACGACGGCAGCGGCGGCAGGTGAACCAGTGCCTGAGACGTTACGACGATTTCTTTATGGGTAAAAATGCTCATCTTTCGATGAACTGGAAGACCAGTCTAGCGTTTTTATAAAGGGAGAGGTATACTTTGCATTCTGAGCAAATTCAAGAGACGTATTATCATTTTTGGCTGGTAGACTCATAAATATTTTCAGATGAAAGCCATAAAGCAGAGCGGGTCGTGCTCTACAGCTGCAAAAGCACGCACGTGTGGATATCAGTCCGGAAGTATGACTTCGATGTCGGTTGCCATATATTTCGTGTGTAGACCTACGGGCTGTTATACGTTTTGAAAAAGAAGGACGGCTTCCTCGTGATCAGGTCATTTAAGACAGAGCATAGGCTGGAACACTTGTCTATTGAGCCCCTGCATGCAACGCAGAAGACTCCATATTCCCAGTTAGCGGACTTTCGCACATTGCATACGAAATCGGGGAAACGTAATGCGAACGTTCTTTGCAGCACGAGAACAGACCTGTGTTTTGTGTTGAGGAGAATTATGCAGAATAGAATTTATGATAGCTTCAGTAACCTAATGTCTACCCTGAAGGAATATAAGAAAGTAAAACATGATAAAAAAATAAATTAAAATATATTTAAATACAGATGTAAATAATAAATATAAAATATCAATATAATCTCATATAAATACATATATATTAATTTAAAATATAAATAAATATAAACATTTTCAGTTTACAGGCGTCCCATACGAACTGTAAACGAAAGCTGAAACCCAAACTGCGGGTGAATCACCCCTGCATCTATACTTTTAAGTACCACTGCGTGTACCCCATTTTTTATCATACGGGTGCGTTTCGAGGGTTTAGTTTGAGCAGTAAGCCGTGAATGCCGAATGTCAAATGATGTAGGTCCTTAAAGTTCGGTTGTAGGCCACATTTCACTGAAATGGAACTGGGGGACAAATTGCATGTAAAAACGCTTTATTTGGCCCACAATCACAATTGGAGTTGAAAGATAGTATCGGCCTACCCCAAGTTCTGTCGGTTGGCTGGTAACCAAGAGAAACGTCTATTGAGCATGATTCAGTTGAGGCGACCATCAGCCAGACATCTGAAGGTGAATTCAAGAAGCAAAGTTACTTTCTGTAAACGCAGTTGTAGGTTAGTGTGTTCTGAATTAGAAGAGAAAGAATCTAGAAAATATGCGTCGTCTACTCGTTCGGTGTGATCCCGCTGTGACTCTGATTTCTTTTACGAAGCATCTGAAATTCGGTCTGCCGGCTTTATGATGTCTGCGCTGCCGGTGATGTATATTTAATATCCGGATGTGCCGCACATGGATGCAACCTTCCAGAGAAATGGGCTGTACAGCATTTTTATAAATGATCAGCGCAGGCATGCTCAGTCCGTGTTCTATGCACTTTTGTCTCAAGATGATCCCTCTAGCGTGCAATCAGTTGCCAGGAAATTCCAAAGACGTAAATTTAGACGAGAACTTTTAGCCGATGCTGCAACTATGATCTAAGTTAAGAAGAGCGACTCAGCCTTTACAACAGTTCTGGTTGTATCTTTCGACAGTGGAGCAGTCTTCTTGGGCTAGCAGTAAACAGAGCCGAAGATAGTCAAAATTCGAGGTGCACGAAATTTCTCAGCACTTAGCTAAGTCCTGTTTAAGGTTACTCAGTAGAAAGATGTTGAGGAGCCAATCTGAATGAATAGTTCCGACAGACTGTAGAAGCGTCTGCTAGCCTGGAATCTCGAAGAAATTTAAATCCCTCTGGGGTAAGAAATTATCCTTGATTGTAAATCCATTCTATACGAATGAATGATAATTTATGTACTATTTTTATGGAAAAGAAGGAGTGCGAGGGAACTGAGGGCTCAAAAAGATTTTTTTAGGAAATAAAATTCAATTAATTATGTGTACATTTTATATACTAGAAGACGTGTAAGCCTTCTCTGAAACCAGTTGTGTATTTGCTCGACCTTTCGAACTCTCACGCGATCGCATTGCCAGGGAATAAAAAAGTGTACGGCACATTACATATTTAGCTAAGCTCTGTCGGGAGGGACCTTGAGCTGTCATTATTCGCTGTGCCAGGAGTGATCTTGAGCGCTGCCATTGTTCACGCAACGCAAGATAGGCATACGGAAGATCTCTGTGCCTATTAATAGAATCCGCACGTGATTTTCATGCTTCCTGCAGCAGGCGTGGAGTTCGGTCGTCCGACTGGGCCAGAATTCATACGCATTTGAAGTCGAAGCCGTGTCATGGCGATGCTGCGTGGGCGGCTATCAGGGATAGCTTGTACTTCCTTCGCACGGCCAGTTCGTGCTGGCTGGCTAGTAGCCCTTGTTGGATCAGGAGTCCCGCCGGATCGGCCTCAATCCCGAAGTCGGAGCAGCATGCTCGCGAGGGGCTGCTCCGTCGTCGAAAACGGAGATAGAGAGGAGGGGAGATAGATCCACCGTAAGGAGGTTTGGTGTAGCAAACCTTGGCCAGCGTAAGGGCGGCTGGGAACGCGGTCGAAGACGCGTCTGCTGTGGTTTGTGCTCGTGCAGCCTCGTGAAAACTCGTTTGCTGGTTTCACCAACATAGCGTTCGCACGTAGCTGCGTTTTATACACCCCAAGTTTAAAGATGCAGAGCGCATAGTTTAAGTAAAATTGCAGGGGCCGCACATGCCTTATGCTTTTCCCAAAAGGCTCTTTACGTTTACCCTTAAGGAACATTTTGTTGAGATTTGGTTGTGTAACTGTGACGGTGCAGCCCTTGGTGGGCCTGCTCGAATCCAAGCAGGAAATGTACCCAGAGCACAATGGTAATCTCATTTACCTAGTTGAGTTTATTAGCCTCCCCTGAAACTTTTACTAACAATGTAGGTTATTGTAAACAGTTGCTAAGGCTGTTCATTGGTAGATTTTGTCTTCCTTTTTGTAAACAACATATAGTGTACAAGGTGCACGGCCTTATGCAGATAACGTAGAACATCACGGTCCCCTGGACACTTTTTCATCCTTTCTCTTTGAAAGTTATTTAAGTAAGTTAAAGAAACTGCTTAGAAGTCCTTCGCGACCTCTACAGCAGACTGCTAGATGATTTAGTGAGGCTGAGGTACGGACTCGCACCTTAAAGACGTCTACCACAAAGTTTCTTCATCCCCATAACAGCGGACCCTTGATAGTTGGATACGAAGGTAGTCAACAATACAAAGTCCTGTTGACAGGTTGCTTTCGGATCGACGGTACACCGGCCAATAGGTGCACTGGCTTTGATAATAAGGTAGTATGTGTTAAGAACATATGTGTCGGCCAAGGCGGCTGTGTCGGATTGGTTTTGACAGAATTTGTAAATATGTCTGCCTGTTTTGAGTACCCGAAGAAATAATCACTTCTGAAGGTGTTTAAGGCAAACCTCAGTGATACACTCTAGTATGCTATATTTCCACCGAATTTTAACAAGTACGTTTGCTTTGAACATGACGACAGCTACCTCTAAATAGGGGTGTTAAACTTCTTTGAGAAGCTACTTTCTATTCCTTCGCATTTGCGAGCGGTACTCTGAACCCTACAACGCACAGTCCCCATAGTGAATGGTTCACGAGCATTGTAGGGAAAAGGTGGCATAGCGATAGGTGGACCATCGC